TAGTGGGAAACTGACTGCAAACAACAATAAAAATAAAGAGGGGACCTCATCTGTCGCAAATGGTTTAAAATGTGAATTTAAAGATATAAAATAAAACTATCAACAAAAACCAAATGCTTGGAAACTAATTGCTCTAATACTACAAAGCACATTTGATATTTACGTCAGTGAATGTTATCTGGCTTGGAGAAGACCCAGAAACATTCTTGTACTTACATCCTTTAAATGGGTAGAATTCAATACACAGAGAAGAAACGGACTTGGACTGATATAGGAATCATGCTCAATAAAGTTGATTTATGATGGAGTAAGAGGAGATATGAGGAAGGAAGGATGGAGAGCAAAATTTGTGGATTGATGAAAGATGGGAAACCAATTGGTGTCATGAAGGAGAAAAGAGTCCAAAGGATAATATATTTGGGAGACCAGATACCAGCTCTCACCCTAACATGTTGAGTTCTAAATTAAAAGTGGAAAATTCAGTGCACATATTTAATCACAAACTGGAGAACTGGAACAGCATTGTGCTTCTATATATTATTTGAAAGCACTTTCCAACAATATTTATCCTTTCAAACTGTTCTGCAAGGTTCATTCAACTGTAATGCAATTTTTTTTTTTTTTATTGATGAAAGAGGCTGGAAGACATACTACAATACAGTAATCTAGAATTTAGTGGACTTGGAGTGTCTTGAACCATGTGACCGAAGTTAATCACCCATTTTCTCACAATATCTTTCCTATGTGGACAATGAAAGATTATACCAACATCTCTTCTATTTTTAAAGTGTCTCAATTCCATGAGAGAGTAAGCGAGGGAGAGGGGCTGCAATAGTTCCACTTTACAATTTCCAGTGGGACACAATATCTTAGTTTTCTGTTCATTTTGTAGGAAGTTTTCATAAACCTACTGGCTTATGAAGAATGCATTGCCTTATGTAAAGTCCAGTAGGTAAAATAAAAGCTCACATTGTTATCTTGTGGTGGTCAAGGTTACATGGGCCATATTTAAAACTGATGGTTCTGAAGCGGAGTCTGTTTCCTTATGCTTCGCTTGTGGTTCTCTTCCTCCATCTGCTCTTCCTCCCAGGCTCCATTGGCAAGTCAATTCTTCTCATTCCATCACTTTATAGTTTTCTTCTTCTACTTTGCACAAACCCTGTGATCACACTGCCACTAGATAATTCAAGATAACCTCCTCATTTTGAAGTTCTTAACTATTATATCTTGCTAGTCCATTTGTCAGATAAAGTGACAGTGTTCCAGGAATCACGTCATGGGTATCTTTGCAGGAGCCTTACTTTGCTCACCACACTTTTCCAGGGAAATCCAAAACCATCCTATCCTTTTCTTTCTTTTCTTTGTGTTTCACATAATATTGAATTCTTATTCAAACTTCACTTTAATACTTTTTCATTTCTCAAGTTTAAGAAATGGCAGTGGTTGTCACCAAGCCATATGTTAAATGGGTCTTTAAAATGTCTCAGTTCTACCATTCAAGAGACATAAAACTTAGAAAACGCACTTAAATGTAGAATTGAAAGCTACTTTTCCCTAAATGGGAATAGAATATAATTGTTTGTTTTGCTTGTGTCAAGAAACAATACATTTCATTAAATAGTCAAGAATGAAAATTAAACTTAAGTGTAGCATTTCACTTTTTAGGGCTTTTTGCTGAAATGAGATCCTTTCATAGGACAAGCATGGTAATCGTAGGTCAACTCTTTTTTCTCTTCTCTGGCTTGATATAAATGACAGCTAAGTCTGTATTTTAATTTCATTCTGAAAACAGCAACCATAGTGAAAACTTTGCCTTTGACATACAAATTTGTTAACTTAGATCTGTGAAGAGAGATCCTTTACAAGACAGTATCATTGGTGCTTTGCAACACATTCATTTCAGATGGAACTTTGAGGAATCTTCAAAAAGCTCATGGAAAATTTATGGTATAAAATAAGCTTACATGAGTTTCAAAACTTTGTATACCCAAATAAACTTATCTTTTAATCTTATTTACACAAACTTATTGAAATATCCTAGTATGCCATACCAATAAACAATGGAAATAAAACTTACCTTTTAATCTTATTTCCACAAACTTGTTGAAATATCCTAGTATGCCATACCAACAAACAATGGAAATAAAAATCTAAGTGGGAATCAGTGGTACGATATTTCATCATTTCTTTTCGTGCAAATGGAAAAGCATTCTTGTCAAAGAATTATATTCTTTCTCCATAAATATTTCAGAAAATAACCCAGTTCTGAGAGATATACTACAAATTGGAAGTATAAGTTAAGAATAATCACCAATAAAGTTTCATATTTATTTCACAGAAAAAAAAAACTTTTTTTAGAAAATGCTAAGCAAAACATTCACTTTATTCTAATGAATTAAACTATAGCCTATCCAGAGCGGGCAAGCGGGACATGGTCACTTTGCATTCCTGCCGACAAAACAAGAGCCAACCCAGATTCTTCCCATACAATTTCTTAATGCACATGGTGAATGACTAAAACCACACTGGAAATAGAAAATGCTTTTAATAGTTTCGACTATAAACTTCTCACCTCATGAGGATTTGAATGACTTTATGGCTCCATTTGCTTCTTTATGTTTATTTCTCCATGTATTTGCCTTTTGTTTAGGTTTTTAAGCTAAGAGCTTGGTAAATGTGTGCAGTGAGATTTACATTCTGTAGCCTATTATAGCTGAGCTATTACAAAGGAAGAAAGGAAGAGATTGTTGGATTAGAGCATTGTCGCAAGTGCAGAAAATAGAAACACCATGTTTATCTTTCGATTCTCATTAGTTCTCCAAGAGGACTTTAAACTCATGATTATGATAATCTGCTCAGAGAATCAATATTATTTCCTCTAGAGGAGATTTAAACATATACAATATGTCTAATTTAGAGAAACACTTATGTATTCTTTTTACTCCTGGAATGATGTATCTACTGCTGATATCTCTTGACATCACATTTCAAGGATGATTTACTGATTACGTTGTGCGTTTCTGCAGCACAATATGCACTTTCTTGAATTTCTGCTCTAATGGTTCACCCTTCCCCAAACGTCCTTTTGCCTCCTCTCCAGGCAGTTACAGACTAGCTGCACCGCAAAAATTCAGATGAATTTCTTCTTCTTCTTTTTTTTTTTAAATGTGAAATCTTGCTTAATACCAGCTTGTGTTGGTGTTCTCTGCAGTCATACAGAACTTATCATTAAATGGAGCCATATGTTTCTAGTTATTTTTTGTGTTTATTGTCTTTCCAACTAGATGCTAGGGCAGCTCCAAAAGTAGGGATTTTGCTATGCATCTTTATATCTCTGGCACTTTGCCTAGCGACATGTAGAATATCCGTTGATTCCATTTGTTGGTCGTCTTTATCAAAGGTAATTGTTGAATTCATACATTGTCTCAAACAATGAAGAAGGCCCGGTGTTGGACATTACTGAGTAATGAGTCATGACTAGGTCAGGTTCCTGATTTTATTATTATAAGGAGTCTGTCCTTTTTATTGTCTTAGTTTTCCTTTGTCTTCACTTCATTTTTGGGCAGTAGTTTCCTAATTTGTGCTTTCTGTGGGCAGAGAAGGATCTTCTTTTTCTTAATATATCAAAGAAAGGACTGGAACAGATGCTCTTTGCATTCAAGGAACTAGCTTGGGTCAGGTGCCTACCTAGGATAAATCCTGGTTGTCAAAGGTAAGTGAGCAAGTTGTTGGCTGGGCCAGAGTGACATGGCTTTCTATTGAAACAGGGAGTGAGATCAATTGTTTTTTTTTTTTTTTCTTATTCATCCACTGTATGAACTGTGACTGGAGGAAGATCTGTTCTTTCTTCTCTCAGAATGGGGAATGCATGCTGGATATGCTGGATAGATGTGATCTCATTGTGGAGAGTAAGTTTTTTGATTGATCAGCTTAACATCTTTGCAAAAAAAAAGATATTCTGTACCACTTTTGTCTTCATACAAGTGTTATTCTCTCCTGACATATTTGATCCCTGTCCTCCTTTTTGGGTTAAGTTTTAAGAGATTTTGATGGAGAAGGAATTATTTTATGAATATTTTGCAATAGGAATAGAATCACTTTTTAGTGCTAGTTTCGTTTTTATGATTCGATTTGAGACAACAACATCTAGCGACCGGGATAAACAATATCACTATTGGGAATAGAGGTGAAGGTGATATTAAGTAGGACTTTGGCTCCTCGTTGATAAATTATCAAGTTCTTCTGTGGAAAAATAAACTGAAGAGTGTTTAAATCCCTCATTATGGCTTGTGAAGATTGTGGCCCGTGGGTTTCATGGTAAAGTCTAATAGCACTATAAGCCAATTAAGACTATCAATGATTCACTAAGAACTACACTGATATCAGAAGTTGATTATGAGGCATACAAATGATAAGCATTTAGGATTGCCATTAGTTGAAACTGAAATGGTTTGGACATGTATGACAAGTGGGCTAACAGGACTTTTGACTGCCTACATTGTGCACTGAGAAGAAATATCTGAAATATTTGAAACATAAAACCTCAAGTTTTGTAATCGGCAATATACCTGAGACTCTGCCTTGAAGGTTCTTAGTGAACATTGCAAATAGTGAACCAAGACTATTTGGAGATTTCATTTCCATGGAAGATGGGTGTTGAACAAGAAAAAATAAAATTTTCATTGGAGCATCCAGAAAATGTGTGGTGATTGACAGCTTAGCATCCCTAAAGGACAGAAGTCAGATTCGCATAGACTGTAGTATTTTTCCCCCCATTCCAAATCTTTTATGATTAAGTTACATAATATTGTTTGGATCAAAGCACATATAATGCTTTAACATTTAAATTTTGTTTATTGTTGTGTGTGCCTTTCATAGCTAGTTACTTTGTATGTGGGAAAAGAACAAATCAAGCATAGCTACAGTGATGAAACTTCTAAGAAATAATCAAATGTTTATTGAGCACTGTCTTAAATTAATTTTTAATCTTTACTTTTTAGAACTGCAAGATAAGCAGAAATCTACAACTGATACCTCTCCAAGTATTTGTTTGTTCTTACAGATGTTTTACTCAGCGTGGTGATAACCTCTTTGGCATTGTGTAAGCCTAGAGCAGGTCAGATGCTCCTTCAGGGCCTCACCGGATTGCTCTGTAGCATTGCACAAATATTATGTTCTACTTATGACATCTGGCTACAGCTGTTCTCTCGTCAATACATCAAGTAAAGGAAAAATAATTCAGCCATAAAGATCGTGGCTTAAGCACTACCTTTAGATTTCTTAGATTTTAGGCATGCTGTTTTATTATTATTATTATTATTATTTTTGGTTTAAACACCAAATAAAAAGCAGAAACATGAAGACCTGTCTGGCAAGTGTTATTCTCTCCTGACATATTTGATCCCTGTCCTCCTTTTTGGGATAAGTTTTAAGAGATTTTGATGGAGAAGGAATTATTTTATGAATATTTTGCAATAGGAATAGAATCACTTTTTAGTGCTAGTTTCAGTTTTGTGATTTGATTTGAGACAACAACATCTGATGACAACAACATTCATTTTACCTTTTCATTCCATTTTTTTAGTGAAGTGAAGGTTGGAAATTCAGATATGGCAACTTCTAATATGACGTTGTTACTGCTTTTTAAGTTCCTTCCTTTCTTGCCTCGTTCCTTTTTCATTCTCTTCTTTCCTTCATTTGTAAATCTTCAGGAGAAGCTGACAAAAGCCAAAATGGTAGTGCTGAAATGATAATTTGCCTCTTTGAAGAACAACACCAAACCTGAAGAAATGAAGAAACGCATGCCATACTTTGCATATAGTAATGGCTTTTGGAAGTGGGGTTCTGTCAGCATCAGCCGTATCACCAGAGAAATTGTTGGAAATGCAAATGATCAGAGTACAGCCCAGAAGGACCACAGCTGGAAACTAAAGAATGCCCCAACTATATTTCTGCTTTTACAAACTCTATTCATGATTTCTTTGTATGTTTTAGTTTGAGAACGACAGGGGCAAACAAAAATAGAGTTGCTATGTATTCTTAATGCAAGAAATTGAACCTTGACCCTATATTTAAATCTAGAAAAGAAATGCACTTCTTGATAGAACTATTAGTCCTTCTGATGGAAAGCAGAGTGGAGTCTCTCCTTCCTGTATTATCATGTCACTATCCAGGCAAGGCATTTTGCAGCAGATCAGGAATGTAACCCTTCATGTGTCAGAGTATCAGCAGAGTACTGCGGAGAGGTTCTTAGTTCCAGAGAATAATGTTTAGGCCTTAAAAAGACAGAGATAGGGGTTCAAGATAACTTCCTAAGGATTCATTAACCACGAGTGTAATTGAAACAAAAACAAAAGTAAAATACAAATGAAAGACATAGGACTTCATTAAAAATCAGCTTTGGAAGTAAACTATGTTTGTAGAGGGAAAACTGCTCAGTAACTTAATTTTGGCTAGAAAAATATTTTCATACAATTTATTCTATCAAAAGTAGTTTATTTCTAATTTACATTCCATGACCTTAACCACAATTTACTTGCTATCTTGCTACTGGACAGAAAGTTCCATCAATTTATCTATCAATATACTCATTTATTCAGCAAATATTTCAGATAAATCTTTGAAATTCAAATGACATAAAAAAAACACCCCACGTGGTTCTCATACCTGTCTGTTTCCAACCACCGCATGTTGGAAGGCAGCGAAATGATGCTTCTGACCCAGAACAGCACAACAACTCATCTTTCAGAGGTTATCAGTGACTTCCTCCCAACACACCAGCTCCTCACACAGCCGTCTCTTCCTGCACGCTTGGGTTCAATGGATCATCTTCTGATTCTGTGGTTCTTTAGGTTCATTTGTTTTCTTTATCCCTTTATCTACATTCTCTTTTATGCTGTTGAATAAGAAGCATTCTATGTAATTCTTACACAGTCTTTCTCTTCATTCGTGAAATAATACTCCCACCATTCTCACTTATCTTCATTTAACTCACCTGGGAGGGCAGGCAGCTCCCAAACCTGCTTCCCCATCTTTTAAAGAAACAAGAGTTGTTTATTTGAGAAGCAGGATGCAAGAGCAACCTGCCATTTGTTGATTCACTACCCAAATATCCACCTGACCCTCAATAGGATGCTGGAGCTGGGAGTTAGAAATGTAATACAGGTCTCCCTCATGGGCTCCAAGACCCCAATGATTTGTCATCACCACTGCATCTTGGGTGCTATGTTGAAGAAGATTGGAGTCAGGAGCTGAATCCCAGTAGCTTGCCCAGATATTTCAGTGTGGGATGTGGGCATCTTAACCATTAGGAAAATTCCTGACCTTCTTTCTCTTTGGCATTGTGCTATAGTGAGTTAAGCTACTGTCCTTGCTGCTAGTACTCCATATGGGTGCTAGTTTGAGATCCGGCTCCTCTACTTTTTTTTTAATTATTTCCATTTTTTATTATATTTTTTACAATTTTTACATAGTTAATTAGGGTAAAAAGGTTCAAGGGCCTCAGGAAAGTGGGTAAGACTATATTTCCATACCATTTCCTTCATGTATCCGAGGTAAAGGGGGATATTAAGGGAAAAGCCCCACCCAGTCTCCCACCCACGCCAGGTCCCTGATGTGGGGCATGATACAAGGGTCTTGCTCAAGTGATTTTGATAGTTCGACAGTTATGAATTGCTGCCAATCTTGCCACTCCAAGCATGATGAGGTCGCTGAAGAATCCACTGATTGACAAAGTCTATCTTAGAGTCTTCATTTGCCCAGTTTTTCATGACCAACATATGGCAGAGACGGTTGATTGACTTGTTATTCCCTCGGTCTTTTCATGGTTAGGATTCTAAATCCGGCAGTTCAAATGGGGAGATCCCCAAAGAAACGTTGTCTGAGGTGTTCCCAGACCAGATTCTTGTATGTACTAGCAAGCACAGGGCTCGGCATAGTCCATCACCCCGATCAGCTGGTAGTTGCATTGCTGGGTTGGTTCTGTTTCCAGCCTTGACTTCCACTGGAACCAATGGGTGTTGCAGTCCAGCTTGGTTCTGCGCATCACACACTCGACCCTCACATAAACCAGTGGGAGATGCAGCCTACCTGGAACTATCCACAATAACCCCCACCAGGCCCGTCACCCTATCCTGGTTTGCCAGTATGTATAGCAGACCAGTCTAGTCTGTCCCACATCCCATTCAGCTTTTATACATGCCAGTGGGCACTGAAGTCTAGTTCAACCCAACCAGCTTAACTATTCAACCCTCACATATGTTGTTGGGTGCCTCTCTGCCTAGCCACCCCAGCCCCTGTCCTGGTTTTTGTACCCTCCCATGGGAGTGGTAGCCCAAGAGGGAGGAGCCCACTATTTCCCTCCCAGGCCACTCCCACTCCTGGATTATGCACTCTCCAGATAGTTCTGTGGTTTAACTTGACAGAACTAGCCCCCAGTGCCAGCTTCTGCCAGTTAATGCTGTGCTAAGCCCAAACAACCCTTATCTACTCTAATTGTAGATTGCACCAGTAGGAACAATCAGCCCAGCCTGGCTTTTCCCTGACCTAGTCCACATGAAGCACACAGGTGTTGTAACCCTGCTTAGTCTGGTCTGCTCCCATCCCAGCTCAAGCTCTCCAGTGGGAGTAGCTGTCCAGCAGGGGAATCCCCTCATATTTCCCTGCCGGTTCTGCCCCCTCCCTTTCTGGTTCTCATGTGTGCTGATCGGGTGCTACAGTCACATCTGGCTCAGGCAACCTCACCTTGGCATTCTGTATTATGCACTGGTTTTTCCTGCGACCGAACCTGGCTCAACCCACACTCTGTTCTGGTGCTCAGTTTTGCCAATGGATGATGGGAACTGATTCAGCTTGGTCTGCCCCCGACCCCTGCCAAATGTATGCCAGTGGGAAACTTTCCATGGCCTGTTCTGGGCTGTTTCCTATCATTCTTCTTGCACTTATCTGCAGGGTCTGTGTCCTGCCGGAGGAGTTGCCAAGGCTCCTCCATCAGAACCTCTCCCAATGCCAGCTTTTGTGCATACCAGGGGGGCCATGAGCAAGCCCTACTCAGTTTACCTCCTGTCCTAGCAGGAACAGGGGCTTTTCCTAACTGGCCTTCAACCCAAACTGGTCCTTGTTGGGTGTTTCAGCCATGGCTCGTCCATACCCACATAAATCTCACACATGGCTCAGTAGGGGTTGAGACCTAGCCTAGTCATTCCCACATCTACCCTAGTCCTCCAGAACACCAGAAGGTCCTGGAATCTCATCCGGCTTGGTGCATTCAGTCCCAGTCCACACTTGTGCCAATGGAGACTACAACCATACCCTGATCAGAATGCAGCCCCCATTCCAGCCCATGCACCCCTCGGTGGGAACCTCCACCCAGCTAGGGTGTCCCCTTAACTCCCCAACCGGGCCTGTTCCCAGCCATAGATTGCACATATGCCAGTGATTGCTCTGACTCAGCTTGGCATCGACCCTCACCTGTCCTGACCCCTGCTCTAGACACTGTGGCTTAACATCTGTGGCTCACGCAGATCAGTGGGTGAAAGAATCTAGCTGGGCATTACCTGTGCTCTATCCTGATCTCTATTTTTGCTTGTGGGCTAAGGTTTGCTCAGTCCTCTCTGGTCCATCGCATTCCATTACCAATTCACACTTTAGCCAGCCAGTGGAGCTACTTTGTCCAGGTTGTCTGACCCCCAGGTCTGAACCATATGTTCACCAGTGGGAGCTATGACTTGCCAGGGGAGTTTCTCAAGTTCCTCCACTTTATCCATTCCCAGACCCGGTTGTCATACATGCCATTTGTTTTTAGGCCAGTGCCCGGTATAGTCTGGTATTCCATTTGGCCTTGTATGAACTTGTGAACATTGCAGTCTGGCCTACCCCACATCCTGTTTAGGATGCACATTTGGGTGCTGCTGCCTTGACCAATCCAGACTGTTAGTTCCTTTACCTGTGATTGATGGTGTGCTCCTAGGTCAGTGCATCACCACCCCAACTCCTGAACTAACCCCTGAAGCTAGAATTTCCACAGGGTTTGGCCCACACACCCTCCACAGAATCTACCCCCCTCCCTCAGAAATGGTTCTATCTAGTGCTATTTAATGTCATGGCC